CCTCTGGAATGGTCAGTGCATTCCCAACAACTAATATCGATCTTGCACCGACTATCTTAGACTTAGCTGGGGTACCGATACCCAAGTACATGGATGGTATTTCACTGAAGTCAGAAATAACCAAAACCAAGTCCACAGGCGTTCGAGTTGTGTTGAACAGCATTAGTCTTTCAGAGGAAGAGATACTTAAGAGGGAGTATCAGGTTCCAGGCTATCCTCAGGTACGAAGAACCATGTTAGTGGAACACTCTGGGGAAGGTACGGAAAAAAATAAAGGGTGCGAGTTCATGGGCTCAGGTTTATCTGGTTGTAATCCGAACTTTGCGTGCAAGTGTGAGGACTCGTGGAACAACACATACTCATGCCTAAGACAAGTAAGCAGCGAGGAAAATTTTCTATTTTGCAAATGGGATGATGGCGAGTCATTCCAAGAAATGTATGACCTGAAGAGTGATCCACAGCAGCTGAACAATACCATTGGAATAATAAAGAGAGATGTTCACAAGAAGTTGAATAATCTGCTTCGCAATTTAAAGAGATGCAGAGGGGCAAGGTGTGCAGAGCTGTCTAGTTTTGTTATTTAGCGGTTTTAAATTGTATAGTATAAATTTATTTTTTAAATACAGAATATTGTGATATATAAATTTTTAGCAATGCTTTGTGATGTTTCTGAGAAATCTGGAAATGCTGTTTATCAAAGTAGTAGATTGACATATATTTTTTTCTTTATTATTCTTTTGGTTGGAAAAAGAAATTCCAACTTTGCCCGTTTTCTGTCGGAAATTGTCTATCATGGGTTATTTGTGGAATATCAAAGATTAAGGAAAAACAAGAAGAGTTTGGGCTAAATTGGCATCTCAGGGTTGAGGAGCTTGTTGAAATCAAGAAAGAAGTTGCTTTCATTTTGACTTGTTTGGACACTGCAAGTTGTACATGATTAAATTAATGGGGTCAGCAACCTCCTGTGATATTAGAAGTTAAGTTTACTTATTGCTTCAAGTAACTATTAATGGTAAATCAAGGAACATTCACATAGGTTTATTGTCTGTACATACAGGAAATGGGGACTGGTTCATCCCTTGTTACAGAGTAGCATGTTGTATATTACAACGACTTACTAAATATTAACTAAACAGAAATGTAGATAGAACACAAGATATTTTTGTAAACTCAATTTGTTTTTTGTTTTGTTTTGTTTTATAGGCACTGATTATGAAAAAAGGAAATCTGAAAGTGATAGTCAAGTATTCATTTCCTTGCTGAGATCAGTAACAGTTATATCTTTATTGTTCTTGTTCATCCTTTGAGCATCTCAGTTCAAAGCCACTTCTGGAAATGTGAATAGTGTTGTTGGTATGAATTCCCTGATTGGCAAAGTATTTCAGAATATGGGAAAAGAGATTAATTATACTTTTCCAAAAGAGAAACCATGGCACCATAGCCTAGGATACTTGCAATTAATAAAAGAAGAAAAATTTCTTGTGCAATTTTTAGTGTGAAATGTCTTCCTCAAATGTCTTCCAGTTTTATTTTGATGATAAAATTTAGCATTGGAATTCAGGTTAATGACTATTATGTACTTTTAATTCCTCTGATTTTATCTCTTTAATTACATTAATTTTTGTATATATATATAATCCAGTGAAGCATTGTTATTAATGCATACATTAGGCTTAAGTATGTTATGTGATTCTATATTATCAGATGAGAAGGTGCAGCTTGAGGATACAACAACTGGTATAGCTTAATACGAAGACAGTAAGTGAGGTTTTATAAGGAATGTATTGCAAAAAATTTTTCTGCAATTTCCTAATCGTGGAAGTCGTAATTAATTCTATTATTGTGCCATGACTTTACATTTTCGTTTTCATTATGAATTCATTAATGTCTTTGCGTGATAATTTGTACTGATAATCCTATGTATTTATTTTTATTATCATACCTGGTGATTAATTATAGATATTTTGGGAATGATATATGGTATTATATTTGTACTGAGATTATGTTGGTGCTTTTATTCAAAAGGTTGTTGAAAGGAAAGTCTTGTCACTTATCATTATTATTTTTTTTGAATTTGAGATATCAATAAATTTTTTTCTTGTATCCTTGTATGATTTATTTTCCCAATATACTAATATTTGATTCAGAAAGAACATTGTGTATGTGCCTAGAAAATGTGCTAGATATTAAAGGTCATATACCACTGTGGTAAGTTATTGTAGCAAAAAGAGTAATGTGTCTTAAAACAACAACAACAACACCAGGGTGGCATTTATGTATCTTCATGTCAAATGTGTTTTTATTTTGTTAATTTTGTTCACAAAGATGCTTCTACTAGAGCTCAGTCATGAAGGAGTAAATTACTAATCCTAACTGTTGTTGCTAATGACCTTAGCTGTTGCCACAACAGAATTTTAAATAATTAATTTTCCTCGAATTTCGGAAAGAAAGAAAGAAAAAAAAGAATGCTATTACCATATTTATAACATTGTAATGAACATTATGTCAGTAATAATAATGACTATTGATATTAATAGCATTAGAAAAGAAAATATTTAATGGGAATTCAAAGAAAGGGTAAATCAAAAGAGTTCATGTCTAAAATTGATTTCTTGGTGAATGAACACTTGTGAAACCAGCTATATGGTAACAAAATTCATAAAACAAAACTACATTGGACACTATAAGTACCTGGTGCCAATGGGTTAATTCTGGTTTTAAGTTTTCCTGCCAGCATAGAATCACATTAGGCTCATTGTCCACTGCATAACTTGCTAATTTTTGCAAGGCTACATATAATGGAAGAGCCATATATACAAAATAAATGATATGAGTTAACAACTAGGATAAGTGGACAGAAGAAGAGAAGGAGAAGGAAAGGGGGAGAAGAAAAGACCATGCATAATTATTTGAGGCGAGGGATGAGATCCAAGGCAAGGGTGATCTCCTACATTGGGCCTCAGTCTCCGTTTCCTGAGTCCCCCTCGACAGCAATGAGTAAGGGGTTGGGGGATTACATTCCACAGTTGTTACATAATCACACTTAAGTGAAAGATTCTGCAATAATCCAAAGGAAGACTAAATGTGCTTTTAAAGAATCTTTTGAAGAAGAAGCAGAAGAGGAAGAAGAAAAAGAAGAAGGCGATATCTATGTCTAGCATTTATAAACTTTAATGATAAATTAGCCAATAAAAAAAAACTCATTGGAAACACAGGGAAGGCACTGTAAAACATGCACAATGCTATGGTAAACTTTGTATGTTTGTATGTATGAGCAATTTTAAATCCTGAAAATGTGGTGAAACTGTGACGTGAAAAAATAATCGATAAGATTTTGAAATTATATTTTCATCATATATTTTTTGTGTATCCACATGTTAACAATAAACATGAATGTTAATTCACCTGTAGTCACAACCACACTTCACACACAGACAGACACAGACACATACACGCACATGTGTGTGCCCACACACCCACACGCACCCACCCAGCCACACACCCACATGCGCGCGACGACACACACACACACACACACACAATCTACATGTTTTATTTTTGCATGTATGTATACTATGAATAAACTAATACATTCTCTGGTAAACCTGAATTGATTTATTTTATTGTGTATAAAAATATGTCACAAAAGAAATGAAATACTATATAAACTCATTATAATTATCATGGCATCTACTTTGTATCATATGAATATATTTTTCTATATATAATTGGACTTCTATAACAAACACCTGGGATATGGTTAAAATAGTTAAAGTTTAATAGTAAAAAAGCATCTAGGAAAAATATAAATTACTCAAGTTCAAAGAATGTGCTGAAATGACAAGTAATACAATATATGGTGAGAATAAAATTCAGTGAATTGACAGAAAATAAGAAATCTCACACTGGCTATAAATACATGACATTAAGTAATACTTATCACTTACAATAACTTGAGTATTTAAGTTTACTGTTACAATCCTAAATTACGTCATGAACAACTGCATATGAATTATTAAAATTTACCCCATTTAACAGTTCACATCAATGTAACATTTCTGAAAAAAAAAAAATCTAATATCTTTTATGAGAAAAGGAATTTCTTGAGATACTCTCCTATTTTGCCTCAAAAACTACTGGTATTACTTTTAAATTCCGAACAAGTCATAGTACATAAATGGAAAAATAAATCCAGTAACATGCATTACAGTAACTTCGGTAAAGGTGCGACAAAGATAGCTGGCTTGCCTTCTTAGGTTTAATCAAGAGGGACACAGCACATTCACACATACTAGCTGACTAATTATTGCCTAATTATATAATCATTATTGGAAAACATGCCTCATGCTTGCTATTAGCAGTTTTGCTACTCTTTAAGGATTCAATGACTTCCAATTACGTTTGTATAAATAATGCCAGAATAGTATCTTTTCATCCAGGTCTTATATATTTAAAATGCTTTTGATAACCTCTGTGATAGGTTTACTTAATTTGTAGAGGTTTTCTGAATGATATTTCTCTAGACTGCTGGATTAGTCTTGATGATTTTATTTTTGAAAAAATTAGATTAATATAGAAGAAATTAAAGTGATAGTAAAAAAACACTTGAAATTACTTGTGTATATGACTTCATATATACACAAGATACACAGACAACAGACAAGCAGGAAAGCAGGCAGGCAGAGAAGACAGACAGACAGAGACACACAAACACACACACACACACACACACACACACACACACACACACACACACACACACACACACACACACACACACACACACACACACACACAAACACACACACACAAGCACACACACACACACACACACACACACACACACACACACACACACACACACACACACACACACACACACACACACACACACACACACACTACATCCGGCATTCTCTCTACCAGCAAATTAACGAACATAAAATACTGCAGTTAAATCCCATAAAAGGTCAGAGACTGCTTTAGGGCTTTGCCAAGTT